GATAAAGGCTTTAGTTAGAAGACCGGAGCGTACAACGGCCGAAATCTTGAAATAAATATGTCGACCAAGATGAGGACAATAGTCTGAATAATGTAAATAATCTAGTTAGTGGTCTCGGAAATAAGAAATCTGAAAGTTAAACTTGAAGGTATTTTGCCGTCACAGAGACAGACATCGGACATTAACGTATCCTGCTTCCACAATAAAATATCTATATTTATAGACATTTCTTTTCTCCCCAAGCTGGAGTGGCGTCAAGAAAAGATGAATCTTCACTTGTATCCCTGAATTCGTTCCTATCCTTTGCTGAAAATAAGTGAAATTTTATTTAATTCGACAATAAAAAAATAAATGAATAAACGAATGAAAAATAATGTTTATTGCATTGTGCAATTTAAGAAGACTTTTTTTAAGATAAGGACTGTCAAAATATAACTGGCACCTCATTACCAAAATGATCTGGAAGTTGTTGTTACATTGGGCAATTAACGACTTGTAAATTTTAACAGATTCAACTGCTGCCATTTATTCGTTATAGTGAACTATTTTTGCCTTACAGTTGGATGGTTAATTGTGTCTTCTTGGTCTCATATATTTTTAACTGGCAGTAATTAGAATGACTGAAGCAACTGCTAGATCGGATACTAGGAAAATTTGTTCATTGTGCCGTGGTTGATAGGTTTTTTATTTATTTTTTTTTTCACTCATCAGAATCCATCTTGCGCGATTATAGATCTACTACCTCTCCGTGTCTTGAATGTTACTGCTATATGTTGTCTGGTTCGCCTGTTATATATCTTGAGATTCTCGACAAAAAAATCCAAAGAAGTGTTTGTATTATTCATAGAATGGCATTTCGATTTTTTTCATAGCTTTGTTCTGACAATTAGGTAAAACTTAATGGATAAGCTTCGGATTGACCTTCGGAGAATAGTACTTTCAAATTGCTGGAGAATTAATCATTTACCTACGTATATTATAATTTTAAAAGTATTTTAAATTCATCTTCTCCATCCGGATGGCAACTGGCCTATCGCAGAGATAATGGCTTAGACCCACGTCAAGCCATGTATCGAATAGGCACATGAAAACAATACGCGTGTATTACGCGAGGCGATAAATATCATAAACTGATTGACTTACCTCCCATTTTTTTTTTCCTATGAATATCCGCTTGTTTTCAATACATAAAGTCATTGTTTGTTCTAAATGTTCTCCTCCTTCGTACATATAAGTGCATGAACTTTATACGGATAAAGGGATCTTAGAAATATTAAATGCAGCTTCAATCGTCTTTTTGTCTCCTTGGTGAACAGAACGTTACAATAGTCTTTTTGTTACCCAATAACAGAGTCTCCTAAGAAATTGTCTCTGTGGTATTAACGGCTTGAAGATATTCAAAACGATCCAAATGATAAAATAATAATACCTTGAAATAATAAATCGCGAAAATGTGGTATATGGGAACATCAACAATTCCTGTTGTAGTTGAAGCCCTAGGACTGGTTGGAAAAGATTGCAGTAGACTAATTGAAGGGATTCCTGGAAGTCCATGCCTTAAGGAGATACAAAAAATTGTTCTGACAAGTACAGCCCACACTTTACGAAGGGCTTTATCTGTGTAATTTTTTTTTTTTTTTTTGTCAGTGGAAAGTGTCATGATGCCATTTCTAACCTTAGGTCCCTGGGCGGGACCCGAAAAGAAATGTGTAAACGCCAGAAATCAAAGAAAATAATAATAATAATAATAACAACAACAGGACTTTTGAGAAAAAAAGATAAATGCTGCCTAGTCTGAGACAAGATTTTCATATCATGACCATATAGTAGGGGTTAATAAGAATTGCCTTTTCTGTGGGATTCAACTGTCTGACAATAAAAGAGGAATACAGGTATAGAGTAGTCTATCCGTGTAAAAGGACCAAGAGCCACTCGAGGTAGATGGTGAAAGAGTAAAAAAAAAAACAAAACATGGTTTATGAGAGATATATAGGGAGGGTAACTCTTTATCCGAGATTTGTATAAGTTCAAATTTTAGTGATCGGGAAAGCATCCTCTTGTGATGAGTACGTTCTACAAAGCAGAGGTTTCCTGGAGTAAGCTACTCCAGTAGAACTAACATGTCATCAATGACATACGTAAAGCCTTAGAGTGGTTATTTACAATGTGCATGTTACATGCAGGTCTTAGCCGTGATGGTTAGTGTTGGGGCGCACCCACCTTCTAACTAGTAATGGACTGGTCCCTCTTATATAAGTTAGCTCTGGAGAGAGAGTGACAGAGCGTCAGAGAGAGAGTCAGCGTGAGCAGTCCAGATAAGCTTACCCGGTACATACCGTTGGACTATAGACTTTGGATATTGTTTCGTACTAACCAACCTTCGTTCTACTAATCACTCTATTGTTAATTGCTTTTATGAATATACCAGTATTTTCCTCTACAACTGTGTTTGTCTTGATTCATACACCGACACGCGGGAAACTCACAACATCTCAACAGTTAGAAATGGAGGAATTTCTGCAAGCAGAAACAGATTTCGGCTAGTATATACTAGCCGAAATCTGTTTTTGCTTCCAGATCGAACTCTCTGCCGAAAAGCAGAGAGGAACCCGGACGACGCTCTGCCGAAGAGCAGTCTCTCGTTCGGGGAATTTGACTAACCTGGTTTCGTTTATACGTGTTTTACGGGCATTTTTTTAGCCGAGGCTACGGGCTCGGATAACCCACGTTAAACTCGGCCTTGTGCCACATCTACCCTCGTGTGTGTGGGAGTGGGTGGTGGAGGTCTAGTAAATACCGACTAGCTGAAATATTTTCAGCTATAAGGTTGAACTCTCTGCCTTCGGTCAGAGAGGAAACCAGACAAGGCTATGCCGAAGGGCACGCTCTCGTCTGGGATGGTAGACGGACCCGACCCCGTTTTTTCCGGGGACTATGGGTATTTTTGCCCGAGTCTACTGGCACGGATACCCCACGTTAAGGGCAGTCTCGTCCGGATAGGTAGAGAGACGCGAACCCATTTATGCGTGTTCTATGGGGAATTTTTGGCAGAGCCTACGGGCTCAGATGACCCACGTTAAACTCCGCCTTGTTCCACATCTACCCTCGTGGTGGGAGCTAGTAGTTATTGACTAGCTGGGATCTGTTGAGTACGACTCAGACTTACGCGAGTACTACCAACTTTTCAATCGTAGCACTCACTATTGATTTTTTTTTTTACAATAAACTTTTACTTATTTTATCCACCTTGTTTTACAAGTATATATTCCTATTAGCACGGAATATAACAAATTCAAAACTCAATATGATTGTAGTAATATTGTTTATAATTCTCGTTCATATTCTCTTCTTGTTATTCTATATTGAATCATGTCTGTTAATAAAAGAATAATTGCACACTGACTTTCCGATCACCTTGTCTAATCAATTCTAGTAGTGCCCATTGTCGAAACGTCATGATATTGACATAGCATAAGTCAGATTACAGAATCGTACAATCAAATAGTATCATCTGTAGCAATCGCAGTAAAACTAGTCAAAATATTTAAAGACAAGAAAACCTTTCTAATCATTTGCGATTCCAAACTACCTCCTGTCAAGATTAAGACATATACTGAATCGTCATGGTCAAATATTAGGAATATAGTGTACGAATCTTCACAAGAAATATTGGGTTATGTTCCAATATTCACTTGATGCCAATGACGTCTACATACAAAAAAGAGAAGAAAAACTTTCACAGCTATCATAAGATCAGTATGCATGGAAAACACACCTCTAGACAGAGACTAATTTTATTTACCAAGAGCAAAGCACGGATTAAGTTCAGGGAGATAAGAGGGGGAATGGTAGAGAAATGGCCTTTGCAATAGGCTACTTATCGTTGTTACTTACCAAAACATGAAATGTATTTTCGGGGCAATAACAAACAAATAATTTTCAGTCGATTTTTCAGACAGATAACATTTCAATGACAAAACCAGCGCCATCAAACGCTGGACATAACACTTGCCGAATGATTGGAACAACGTCAACAACGATGCAATCGATAATCTGCCTCAGCAATCTGTCGTCGAAGCACTTTACCCAGATACTACTATCGCTGGTATTAAGAACGCTATTAGAGAGATGTTGAATGGCAAATCACCGACTGGCCATATATATATATATATATATATATATATATATATATATATATATATTCATATTCATTGAATACGACAAACAAGGTGCTTTTATTTAGATTTTTAGACAATTTCTCATGCATTCTAATATTTTTTTTTCTTTTAGGATGATAAATTATGTAAAAATTGTTCGAAGGTTCTTTTTATCCGAACGCTTTCGGCTATACATTTAGCCATTTTCAAGAATTAAATACTTTGACTGTTAAATGAGAAATACTTTGTTGTCTGCGTATTTTATGAAATGTTTTAAATTTTCAAAACATGGTCAAGATATTGTGCCCATGTTCAAAGTTGATATTAAGTTTTTTTTTTTTTGAAAATGGCTAAATGTAGAGGAAAGATCTGTTTCCAATCTCTGATCTTTTAGAGTTCATATCTGCAAAGAAGAATTCTGATAACCTATGGAAAATATCGACATGAAGGAATTTGATATCTGCCTGATAGCTCTTTTCTTTTTAATATTTATTTATCGAGAATTGTATGCAAATACTATAGACCGGAGTATGCGAATATTTGAGATGTTGGTGCTAGATAAGAAGTGAGATCAGGTGCCAAGTTCACCCATACAATATTGAATCATCAGCATAGATATTCACAAACGATTTGAGTATCCTCTTCGGCAGATAATTTATGCAAAATAAAGAGATTTGTTCAAAGAAGCGAACCCTGGGTGACGTTTGCCCTAGAGAACCGGCTGTTAACAACTATCTTCTGGAACCTACCGATTAGGAAGGGCTTTAGGACTGAAAAGATTCTTCCAGTGATTCTATTTGTTCTTGAGATAATCTTTCATTTTTTTTTCTTTCATTTCCCTTCATGTTGGCACTGTTTCTTTTCCTTTCTCTCTGTTTCTTTGCCATAATTTTCGTTCTATTTGTTTTTATTTTCGTTGTAATCATTTTCTTGTCCTTTTTTCTTTTCCTGTCTACACTTTTCTTTCTTTCCTTCCTTTCTTTATTCCTCCCGTCCTTCATTTCTTCTTTCGTCTTTCTTTCGATCTTCGTTTCCTCTCTTCGTTTCCTCTCTTTTCTTCGTTTCCTCTCTTTTCTTCGTTTCCTCTCTTTTCTTCGTTTCCTCTCTTTTCTTCTCTTTTCTTCGTTTCCTCTCTTTTCTTCGTTTCCTCTCTTTTCTTTTGTTTCCTCTTTTGGTTTATTTCCTCTCTTCGTTTCCTCTCTTCAGCGCTCTCTTCATTCCTCTCTTCATTTCTCTTCATTTCCTCTCTTCATTTCCTCTCTTCGTTTCCTTCTCTTCCATTTCCTCTTCCTTCTCTTTCATTTTGAATTCATCTCTCTTCTTCATTTCCTCTCTTCATTTGGACTTTCTTTCTTCAAAAATCTCTCTTTTCTTCATTTCCTCTCTTTTCTTCGATTTTCTTTCCTTTTCTATTTCTCTCTTTTTCAGCTCTTTTATTGAATTCTCTCTTCTCTTCCTCTCTTTTCTTCATTTCCTCTCTTCATTCCTCTCTTTTCCCCAAATTCCTCTTCAATCTAATTCTCCTTCTTCATTTCCTCTCTTCCTTTTCAATTCTTCTTTTCTTCATTTCCCTCTCTTCGGACCTCTCTTTTCTTCGTTTCCTCTCTTCCATTTCCTCTCTTTCTTCAAATTCCTCTTTTCATTTCCTCTCTTTTCTTCGTTTCCTCTCTTTTACATTCCTCTTTTTTCTTCGTTTCCTTCATTTCTTCCCATTTCCTCTTTTTCTTTTTTTTCTCTCTTCGTTTCCTCTCTTTTCTTCGTTTCCTCTCTTCGTTTCCTCTCTTTTCTTCGTTTCCTCTCTTCGTTTCCTCTCTTTTCTTCGTTTCCTCTCAAATATAATACGTCATTTTGTACCCAGCCACTTTTCCTCTTCAAAGATATTAGAGCTAGGTCAGAGGAGAGATCAGCTGCCAATCGCTGGTCTTCTAGAGTTTTGGAGCTTCACACATACACCATTCTTCGTCATCAGTATAGCTTTTCATAAACGATCGGAGTATTCTCTTCGGCAGATCATTTATGTCTTGCACAAATTTATTAAAGTAATCTTTACGAGGTTAATATCTCAAAAAGATTTTAAGATAATTATTTTTGCTTAATTGTGGATCATGTTACTTTCTTTTTTCTGGTACATAAATATTAACGTACCACGTTTATCATTGAGCTAACTAAATAGATCAATCGGCAGTAGATGGTGTGTTAATCTTACAGACATTCCTGATATGTATTAAACGAAAAACTCCTCAGGCTAGCTGTTGCTAGCAGCTTTCCTGTAACAATCAGACATTTATGTGTTTTGGGTGCAGAATTTTATTTCTATTACAGTGAATTCTAATCAGAGCGGGCGTTGATATGGAGCTGAAGAAAGGAATTTACACCTTTTTTGTCAATGATATTTTTCGTTACAGCTACACTTGGATGAAATTTAAGACGTACCTCGCAAACTTCAGTTTTCAAAACCGCTAGGCTACATGGGTACTTTGTAGATTTTTTTACGTATATAGTAAAAGGGGGTTCCGTCATTGTACTTCATGAGCAGCTGTATGTACTCTATTGACGAAATTACGTAGGTGTAGGATTTAAGAAAGATTTATTCAAATGAGGATACAAGATTCACGTATAGTATCCTTTTATAGTCCCAGTAAACAGATATAGCTCTATTAAAGAGTAGAGTAACGAAACGAGGGGACCACTCTTGATTATTTATAACATGTACATCGTTAGATATTTACTAACTGTTCTGTTTTCAGTTCTATTTTCTACGAATATTATTAACTATCTGAAACCATGGCAAAGTTCGAAAGAAATACTGCTAATATCTAAGTTATTTCTGGATATATGAAAAAATAACTAACCTTGAAAGAGCATTGTGTTCACATTACAGATACTTTTCTCTGTCAAAATGTTTTTTTTATTATTTATTGCATCTGTTCGCAAATCCAAATCACTACTTTTACAGAAGTCTGGAATCAATTGCTGTTCTACGTGCTTACAATGTTGGCTCTGGAAAATTAGTTATGTTTGTTCTCGTTTCTCAAACCCTACATTTTAATTCGCCAGCTGTATGCGAAAAATAGCATCGTCATTGAGCGTTTAACAAAACTAACAATCATGTTGATGTTACGTGCTTTTCAGTTCACCGCCGCTTAATCTTGGCAAGAGGCGCCGGCAAAGATATTAACTAATCTTTTCGGTCTGGATTTTTTCACAAGTGTCTTCAGCTTATCAGAACTTAACTCATTTTTTTTTTCCTTAAAAAGGCCCCTTCTTTATAACCTTAAATTCTATCATAGATTTTAGATTTTTACTTCTTTGAAATATTATTATTCATTATCTACGCTGTCATGGCGATTATTATGTATAATTTCCTCTTAGGAAACCTATTATCTTGTGCTGTTACATGCAATCTCCTCGGTCTAATTTTTTTCGTTTTTACACACGCATATATATATATATATATATATATATATGACACACACACGAGCTTAAAAGCCGCCCTATCAAGCAGCATTTAAGCTAGCTCCTGTGAAGTGCTCTTAATAGTTAGGGAGGATTAGATGCCACAGGCAACAATAAACTACAGAAGAACTCAAAATTGATCGCTGCATATAAGTATTACATTAATATTTGAGCTTACCTTTTAAAAGTTCAACGATAATTCATCTGAGGCCACTTAATTAAAAGACAATTTGATGTACGTAGGTCCTTATTTTCCGTACAAACAATTATTTTTATTTCATGGGGAATTTTTGCTGGATTTTGCCATTACTTTCAATTTTCCCCACATTTATTTCCAAACTATAAAAAAATTCGTCGTAAAAAGTCATGTAAAAAATCGTCGAAAACAATCTAGGGAATGAAAACATGGAAATCCAAAATTTTAGGAATGGGCGTCGTGATCAGAGCCGATTTTTTTTTAATTTGTTCACAGCATCGATCTGATTCCAATTTGGTATGTTATTTTGGGCTACGGCCTCTAGGAGTAAAGTTGAAAAAAATGTGACAGTGACATTCGCATTATTATAGATATTAAAAAAAATACCAGAATCTCTTTTTCTACTTATCTAAGTCTCTGATGAAACTTTAATAAAAGTGAAACATGTTAGATCGCTAAACTTTTTTTAATCTTATAACACACACCCACACACACATATATATATATATATATATATATATATATAACATTGACAACACTCACATTTCAAAGCGTCTGTAATATTTCTGCTTTCCTCCGCACATCATTCTGTAATTGATATTAGCATTATGATTCCCTTTTGTTCCTTAAGTAATATTGAATAATCTGAGAATAATATATTTTCTTTATCGTTAGTCGTAGATATATATATATATATATATATATATATATATATATATATATATTTTTTTCATTTTTCAAGCCAAAAATTTAGAAGAAAAATCAAATAAAAAATAAAATTGAATTAGAAACAAAAAATATCCTGGCGCAGTGATTTCTTACAAATGAGTGTGAATATCTAAAAGATATTCATTTTGACCCTTGCTTCATATTTTTTTCCGATATTTTACAACGCCATTGCCAACTTCTAAGAATATCTGACTAAGTTTCTCCTTTATACTTTCCTTCATTCAACAGTTTGTCAAATTTCTTTGTACTGTTAGTTCACTCAATACAAGGCTTAAGTTAGACGCTTACCGAGTCGTATTGTTATAGTTTTTTTCGTTAATGTGCCGTGTCCTTTCAGGACGTAGGTGATCATTGCCATCCACATCTTCCTGTCTCTTGTAGTTCTTAATAATTTTTATCTTTTTGTTATTTCTCCCAAAACCTGTTCTACCATCCATTTAATCAAGCTAATTAAGTATGTTAAGTCCTACTTTTCTCTGTCTCTATTTCCCCTCCATCTGTCCTAAGAGTATCATGTTTTCCAAGCCCTCCTTCCTCATCACTTGCCCCAGAAATATCTATTGCTTCTTCCTGATGTTAAGTATGTTTTCTTTTCGTTTCCATTTTCCCCAAATCCTCGTGTTTGCTCACATGTTCGTCTAATGTTACCCTCAGCATCTTTTTGTAAAAACACATTTCTGTTGCTTCAAGTCGCTTATTCATCTTTGAAGAGATTGTCCAGACTTTTCTGTCATACAAGAGGACAGATAACACTTAACCTTATCTTTAGCTAATTTAGTCATATTATAGACTTTATTTGATATAATTTAAAAAAAAAAACACCTCTCTTTGTTTAAAATTAAAAATTCATTCTTCATATAACTCCAATGTCATAAGATTAATATCCGAGTTTTATTTTAAAAAATCTCTTCCCTTTAAGGCTAATACCTTCCACCCTCTCCTGCCCGCTGTCTCGTGCCTGTCGTCTGAATGAAACACTGAAATGGATAAATTCTGTATTACTTTTTCGATAGCTGTCATAGTTAAATTACTAATTCCGACACAAACTCACACTATATACCAGGGTTGAATAAGACTGACGAAGTTTTCGTCGGTTGAAATAGATCTATACCTCATATGAGGTAATTTTGGATTTTGTGTACTACTATTTATTTGCTCTGTAATAATAAATTCATTAAGCCCTTTTTGTGGATCAGTTTTAATATTTTATATTACTCGGATCCAGTTGGATTATATATCAACGGATTTATTACTTTCAGTGTGTGTGTGTATATATATATATATATATATATATATATGAATATGATTCCAACGCTACATAAGAGTTCTCATGTTTCAAAACAAGACCCGAAAAGTTCAATATAATTATTTGAATTAAAGTACCAAGCTCTTTCCATCTTCAAGCGATTCTTTTTTTATTTCCCAAAAATATTTCGCTTGAATTCAAATAATTATATTGAACTTATCGGTTTTTGTTTTGAAACATGAGAACTCTTATGTAGCGTTGGAATCATATTTTTAAATAATTATATTTATGCTCTACTTTTGTATCGAGCACTATTTTTTAAAAATAAGAAAAATACTAAAGAACTTTAGATTATTTACCTTACGAGCTCTTTCCTATTTTCTATATATTTTTACACACACACGCACATATATATATATATATATATATATAGGAAAATTTTACAAAAAATTAGAAAACAAACAAGAAAAAAAAAACATTACTGAGAGAGTCTACCCCCTAAGCTATCAGCGCAAGGCAGAGAAAGGGAATCTTTTGACGTATTATATACGTGATGTATACAAATGCCAAATCGGTAGCTAAGAGCGCTCAATTCATAACTGAAGATCGATGCGTTAATAGCAGGAGCAGCCATTGTTTTCTTTTTTTAATTTCGTTTCTCTATAGTGTTCAATTAAGCTTATAGTACGTGTTATTCCTAAGCGATTTACCATCTAGGCAATGAACAGGCTTCGGTGTTCATACAAAGAAACGGTGTTTCAAGGCGATATGATTGCAAGCTCTTTTAATACCCCACTAATTCTCAAATTTCTTTTCAAAATCCTAAATTTATATTCTATATCCAACATGTAAGAGCATACATTTATCTAAACGTTCGACTTTTTTTTAAAATCCTTATACGAAGAATTTTATGAAAAACTAAATCACTGCTCTCCTAAGTGTGTGCAAAGCGACGACAAGCAATTGCATATTTCTCTCACTTCACTGCAAGCGCCGTTTCGTTCTCGCCATGCAGATTAATATCTTTTCAGGTTTGATTCTCTGAATGGGTTGCTCCGGGTGGTTTTATTGCATTCATGCCCTTGTGAAAGTCAAGTGGTGCGCAATACCCGACCGTGCTAAATCTTATCACTGTTTTTTTTTTTTTTTTTGATTCCCTACAAATTTTACCCAAACGGCGTCATACATCGAACTGTAACTAAACAGGGGCGTTATACGCAACCGGACGGATGGCCTAACGAATATCGCCACGGAAAATGAATTCTGTTTTGCCGGGGTTTAATTCACGTCCGACTCTGTTTCGTTTACTTCGCACTAATGCCCCTGCAAAAAGACTTGAATCGATCTTCCTCCAGGTATGGGTGAAATACGAACGCAGACGAGGCTCTTTTGGCTTGAAGGTACAACCTATGTAGGAAAAGGAAAACTCTGAATCAACATAAAGAGGGTTTGATTTCGTCATGTTATCTTGCCGTACCCACATCCCTGCTTCTATGTCTGTCTTTACGAACCTAACAGGTTAAAGGACACTCCCAACACCCATCAGAGAGTTTTTTTTTTTTTTTCATTTCTACTGCTAGTAATGCTGCACGCTAGATGTTACTTATCAATCGATACTTTATATGCCTCCTTGTGTATGCATTTGTATAATATATTCTTACTTCATTGGGCACCTCGAGGTGGTGTAATGGTTAGCAAGCTTGTCTCGCTAGAACAATTACAACTGAGTCGTGAGTTCGTTCCTCACTGGGTGCCTCATACTTTCGGCCTTGTGCCACATCTAAGCTACGCTTAGAAAATCACTATATTCTTACTTCATTAGTTGCCTAAGCGTTTGTAGATTTCATTGTGAAACTGTAGACGAAACAAAGCAGAGGTTGTAACGCCATTAAATTCGCGTAATGATGTCAAATCTAAAATGAAATCTATTTCGTTTATCAATGGGCAGAGAAAATGAAAGATCTTCATTGATATGCTATCAGATTTGTACTTGTTACAAAAGGAAATATGAAAGAGAACTTAAATTTTTAATCGTATAAAAAAGATTTAATGAGACTTTGAGAAATGATGAAAAGATGGCATCGTAATGAATTCTAAAAATTGATATTAAAATGTCGTTACGACCTTAATGCCACCTACTCCATAGAAGTATTTGCAGAAATTATGTGCTTAAGAATCTTAAAATCTGTTCGAATTTAATGACCCAAGTGATAATCCGTGGTAATTGATCTAATAAGTCATGTTTGGTAACCACGTTGAGGTGTCCTTCCTTCTTTTTTGATGTACCTGCTTCTATGTCTTCCTTTACGAACCTAACAGGTTAAAGGACACCCTCCACACCACTCTATGGTCAGACAGTTTTTTTTCATTTTTACTGCTATTAATGCTGCACGCTAGGAGAGGTTACTTATCAATCGACACTTTTATATAGAAGTATTTGCAGATATTATGTGCTTAAGAATCTTAAAATCTGTTCGAATTTAATGACCCAAGTTCACAGCTGCCTTTTAATATTATCGTTTTTAATTTCTTCAATTTCATGCTGGATTTCTTAGCGTCTCTTTGATGTGGCACAAGGCCGAAACTATGGGTGCGCCCAGTGAGGATAGAACTTACTATTCAGTCATATATGATCTAGCGAGACAAATTTGCTAACCGTTACACCACTCTTATCATTTTAAGCGTAGCTTAGATGTGACACAAGGCCGAAAGTACGGACACCCACTGAGGATCGAACGCACTATTCCGTGGTAATTGATCTGTCATGTTTGGTAACCACGTTGAGGTGTCTTTCCTTCTTTTTTGATGTACCGTGTCTGCTTCAGGTTGTATGCGATCACTTCTCCCCACAGCTTCCTGATCTTTGTAGTTTTAGTCTGTTTTGCTATCTCTCCTTATCCCTGTTCTACCAACAAAAGCTCGTTACGTAAGTTGTGGTATTCTACCTATCTACCAAATGACTAATAACCTACAGCATGAATCAAAGTAATTGCATTCATATACAGAAGAAAGTATGTAAAAACTAATACGAAAAAATACTTATTACCGTTCTTGGATACATATCTCAATTTTGATAGTTGAAATAAAATTAGCGTTCGTGGTTAATATTGACTTATGAATCGTAGATTTGATATAGCACAAGGCCAAAAGTATAGGCTACTCAGTCGTAACTGATCCAACAAGACAAGCTGGCTAACCATTAATTACGTTGAAACGGCAATTACACCACGCCGAGGTGCCCAACCTCTCTCTCATATATATATATATATATATATATATATATATATATATACACACACACACATATATATAATATATATATATATAAGAAAGAAATAGAGCTTAGAAAATTTGACTTTCGCAGGATATATTAATGTTCAAAAGGGACCGAGGAGAGCAGTGACTAATCAATCTAACGAGTTTGTGTAAATGTTTGGCAGAATATTTGATGTTGTTGTTCATTGCATACAGGCCACGTTTTTTTTTTTTTTTTTTTAAGAATTGAAGCAAACGACTTCATTCCTTCTAGTCTTCAAGAGATTTCTTAAAAATGATAATTTTACAGAGGCCTTAATACAAAGTTTTTCCAGTTTCGCTAAATAATAGGTTGGTAAGCATAGGTGTGATTTGCCGAGTTTGAAAAAGGTAGATATGTTTGGTTCGCAAAAATGTAGGTACGGATTTGGTTTACATAAGAGTTTAAAATCTAGACATAATTTTGGTTTACTCAGTAAACAAAAATAAAAAATAAAGAAGGTAGATATACTTTTAATTTGCGCGTGGGGTAAAAAACTTAAATATAGTTGTTTTTCATGACAGTCAGTTTGATTGGTTGATTGTTTTTTGCTTAACAACATATCACCCTCTATGGTTTATTTAATACCGAAATGTGAATATTTTGTACATAATTTTATAATTTCAGGGTAATTTTTTTTTTTTTTTTTTTTTTTTTTTTTTTTTAAGATATAGTTTGTACCTGATGAAAATGTATTGCTAGTATTTTCATTATAAAAAACTTATTTATACTTTCAAAGAATTTTGACTTTAGTTTCATGGTTCATTGTTTACCCATAGTGGACCCTAAAAAATATACTACTCTGGTTCATGGTGGACCTGAGCACAACCGCAATTAAGGGCTGGTTCCAGCGTGCAATGCTGCTAGGTGTGGTTTATCATTATACCCAAGAATGCAAAAATTTGACAGAAGCCATGTACGTAGTCAGTTTTGTATCTTACTTAAAGCCAGGAGATTTTTTGTCATGCTATTTAATCCATAGCAGGGAGTAGGAGAGATAGATTAGTACCTTTTTTACATAGAATTTTGGGTGTAAGTGATTATAACAAACCAAACAATAATTGGAACTTTGCTCTACAATTAACATTTCTGAGCCATTATCTATTACACCACCCGCACATCCAAGCTTACACGGCCTGGTATTCCTAAGCAGTCACCCATATAGGTGCTGATCAGGCTCAGCGTGGCCTGACTTAAGTGATCTTACGGGAATCTGTGTGTCAGTATGATGTAGACAAAATGTTTGACGTATATATACATTTTTTTTTTGCTCATGTGTCGAAAATTTATGGTGGTAAATGCTGGACAATCTCCTCCCAGATGAAAAAGAGACAGAAATGTTGTTCTACAGAAGGAAGCTAGGAATACACTGGACCAAAACATGAGCAACAACAAAATTTTAGAGAAAATAAAAGCAAGTAACACTATAACGAAGAAACAGTTGAAATTTCTATGGTAAATTTGTTCAGTTCAAAATTAACACGACGTTTTCTGTGACTGTTCATATGTACTGAATATGCGTCCATTAGCATTACAAAGCTAAAAATATGGAAGGAATTGTAGAATAAACTATAAAAAGAAGCCTTAACATCTTTTTAATGAGATCGACAATGTAAAATGAAATAAAATATGTGTGATGCTGAACAAGATTATTTCTAATGAAAGCAAACATTTTCGCTTCGTAAGTTTAGGAGACTATTAAAATAGTATTGAATTTGTAACAGCAGATTAAACAAAAATAACTCTTAATTAAACAAGTGGTTTAATTAAAGAAAGCCTGAATAAAATCATTCTGGCTAATTATTCTGACAAGGCAATTCACGATTCACATAATGGTAATCTTGATATTATTTTTTTCTTATAGAGAAATATCCGGCATCCATTAACCGAAAAACCAGTTCTAATGTCGACTGACCTCTTATAAAATACAGGGTGTGCCCCCAAAATTGACATTATTTCGTAGTTTATAACAAGCCAATTTTTGTTCAAATGATCTCAAATGTGAACACAATGTATAAAAACTAAGTTGACAATAAGGAATTATCTCAATGAGAATCTACCAGAAAGATGGCTCGGACGTGCATTAAACTGTTGAAATAGTCACCACGTTCACCTGACTTGACACCTTAGGATTTTTTTTTCTCCGAGGCTATGTGAAAGGACTGGCCTATATCCCCATTCTTACTACAAGCCTAGAGGAACTTAAGCATAGAATCAGTGAGGTGCTGGAGTTTGTTACGCAAGACATGCTTTAGCGTGTTTGTCAGGAACTGGACTACCGAATTGACGTGTGCCGTGTCACATGTGGAGCGCATATTGAACATTTGTGAAATAGGTTTTAAAATATTCATACCTTTGAAGATATGATTCAAATTGTGATAAACAAATATTTTATTGCTCAACATGAAGCCTATTTAATTTCGTTTGCTTGGGATATGTAGTTACTCAGATATACATGTTAACATCTTTTTGTGGTAGTAAGGGGTGAAACTATAATTCTATTTTCTCTAGTCACTCACTTTATCACTACTCCCAGTATTAATCTTTTACATTATTAGGACTATTATCCTCATCTTTGTCGCCATATTTATTACAACGTTTCGGCCGTTGTACGCCCCGGAATGTCGAACTGAACCCGTTATTTTGCTCACTGGGGTAGACTGTTCTAGTTCCACGTGGCATGATTAATGAATGTCATTTATCAGTTATCTCCTGTTAATTCCCCTCTACAAGTTCTCCATTGCCTTAACCGGGTATTGAACACCCTCTTTGAGTCCTGTCACTGCATCTAACCAACGCCTTTATGTCATGTGTCCTTGAGGACATC